AATGGCCTGCCACTCTCCGCGCGCTGAGGGACGGCCTCGTCGAGCATTGTCCCATGGCGCTGTGGCGCTCGCCTCTCCATGCTCCTGCTTTCTGGCAATATCCTCCTCTTGTCCTCAACCTCGAAGCTGCCGCTCGGGGATTTCCTGGGGATCGCAGGCTGCGAGTGGGTGGGGAGAGGGCGGTTGGGCGGTTATTGGAAGGCTCGGCGGTCCCCAGGCCCAAGTGGCAGAGGATTTTTGCGGAGGAGCTGCGAGCTGCGGTGTTCTCCCTCCCCCTCGAGGGACTTCTTGAACGCCGCGTGCGCTCCTGGTTCGTTTCGACTCTTGGCGGGGGGGAGGTGGACTGGGACTTGATTCGAGAGCGCCTGCGGGATGTGCCCCCGTCCTGGCCTCCTATCTTGCTGCGCACGTGGCTAGGAGCATGGATCACAGGATGCCGTATGCAACGTCGGCAGCAGTGTGTTTTCGGTTGTGACGACGACGGGACGGCGACTCATTACGTCTGTTACTGCCGCCGCTTCCATTACCATGCTGCCCCTGTCCTTCGCTCCGATCTCCCCTCTTCTATTATTGCTCGTCTCGGTCTCAGAGGCGACCTTGTCTTTTTGATCGCCATGTACCATTTGTTTCGCCTCGCCGCGGCCCGCGCAGGGAGGACAGGTCGGCCGTTGGACCTCGGGGAGGCCGCGGCCTTGCAGGCCCCTGCTCGCGTCGCGCTCCGACTCCCGCTCCGCCGCCGCCAGTCTCAACTCCTCGATGCTGGCATGTTAAGGCGGCGAGTCGTTGAGCTTCGCGATGAGGCGTAAGGCGGACAGACACCGAGGGGAACGCTGTGCCTCCTTCCTCCTCCCTCCTCCTCCTCCTCCTCCTCCTCCTCCTCCTCCTCCTCCTCCTCCTCCTCCTCCTACTCCCCCTCTCCCTTCTCCAGCCTCCTCCCCCTCGTCCTCCTCCGACCTCCTCGACGTCCTCCTCTTCCTCTCCTCCTCCTCCTCCTCCTCCTCCTCCTCCTCGTCCTTCTGCCCTTCGTCCTCCTCGTCTTCCTGCTGCTGATCCCGCTCCTCTGTTGCTGACCCCGCTTCTCCTGCTCCTCCCCGTTGCCCTCCTCTCGAGGGATGGGCAATCCACCCCGACCCCACAGCTGGCGTTTACCTAACTGCCCTGCGCGTTTACTAAACACCCCTGCTATGTGCCACCCCTTCTTGAAATGCGTTTTCTGATGGGCTTCGCTTGTCGGGGTGCTTCATGTGAGGGTGGTTCTTCTGCCCAATGCCCTCGTGCCGCTGCCGTTGCCGCTCCTCCTCCTCCCCAACTTCCTGCGGCCTGCTCCCGCCCCACCGCTGCCCGCCCCTGCTCCTCCTGCTCCCCTCGCCCTGCCCCCCTCGCCCTCCTCGCCCCCGTCGTCCTCGCCGGCATGCTGCTTTGCAACTTCACGTTGTGCCTCCTCCTCCTCCTCCTCTCTCCTCCTCCTCCTCCCTCCTCCTCCTCCTCCTCCTCCTCCTCCTCCTCCTCCTCACTCCTCATTCTTCCCTCCTCCCTCCTCCCTCCTCCCTCCTTCCTCCTTCCTCCTTCCTCCTTCCTCCGCCCTCCTTCCTCATTCCTCATTCCTCTTCCCTCCCCTCGGATAACAAGGGCACAACCATACTTGTTCGGAGTTCCGCGCTGATTTCTTGTATCGGCGCTGCCCCCCCCCCCCCCCCCCCCGTGGCAACGCCTCTTGCGTGGCGCGTTCCGCGCGCAAGGGAGAGAGAGAGAGAGAGAGAGAGAGAGAGAGAGAGAGGTCCAGCGCCGATCGAAGGAACCCATGCGGACCTCTGATACATCGTGTTTCTGCTGTGCTTGAGGTTCCTTTCCCTTCTTCCTGTCGGTCGCCCCCCCCTCTTTGTCCGCCGGCCAATTCGCTAGTTAGTGCCCGTTTCTAGCTTCTCGCCGGAGCGGAGTTCGCCGCCTCGCCGCCGACGAACAAAGTGCTTGAGGTTCCTTGGTTGTACTTCCTCCTCCAAGCCTTGTAAGCATGCCCTCCCCCCAACACAGGGGCAACGCATGTGTGCCCATAATTCCCGACGGTGTGGCCTGAAAAACCGTGGAAGGGTCGAGCTGACCCAGCGAGGCCAAGGTCACGTCACATCGGTATTCGCATCGCTATTGGTTCCGCAACTCCAGCTCCACTCCACTCGGCTCCACTCAGCCCTACTCCACTCCAGCTCCACTTCACTCCGCTCAACTCCGCTCCATTCTACTTTGCTCCACTCCAGCTCCACTCCGCTCCACTCCACACCACTCCACTCCATTATAAATTCCATTCCAGCGCTACTCAATTCCACCCCGTTCCACGTCCACTTCATGATACTCCATTCCAGCTTCACTCCACTCCGCTCCATCCTGCTACACTCCAGCTTCACTCCAGCTCCACTCCACTCCACCTCAGCTCCGCTCTACTCCAGCTCTTTCCCGCTCCACCCACTCCGCCGCACTCCCAGCCCTTTTCCAGCACCACTCCAGCTCCACTCCACTCCTCTCCGCTCGACTACTCCCGCTTAAGATTTACTCCGCTCCACTCCATTTCCAGCTCCATCTCCAGCTCCATCCACTCCAGCTCCACACCAGTCCAGCTCCACTCCAGCTCCACGCCACTCCAGCTCCACTCCAGCTCCACTGCGCGCTCCATTCCACTCCCCTCTGCTCCGCTTCGCTCCCCTCCAGCCCAATTCCAGTCCAGCTTCACTCCGCTCTACTCCAGCTCCATTCCAGCTCCACTCCACTCCATTCCACTCCAGTTCCACTCCAGCTCCACTCGACCTCATCCCATTCCACTCCACTCCATTCTGCTCCACTCAATTCCACTCCAGCGTAATTCCACTCCAGCTCCATTCCACTCCACTCCAGCTCCACTCTGCTCCTTTCCACCCCGCTCCACTCCAGCCCAAGTCAACCGTATCCAATTCTATACGCTTTGCATCGCGCCATTTTGGCAGCGTAGTTGCCGACTCCTTGGGTGCTGGTCCCTGGGCTTCAGACACCCTGGGTTGCAGCACCCTTGTACCCGCCGCCCCGGCGCGGGCCGCGGCCCGCGCGCGCGTTCGGCCAATTAGTATCGGCCGCAGCCCGACCGTTACTCGCCGCCGCTGGCGCTTCCGCCCGCGGCTGTAAAAAAAAATACCCCCAGTAGCCCATCCAGAAACGATGCCCAGAGGAAGTGCCTCGATCAGGGAAGTGGGCGGCACATAGAGGAAGCGTCCCCCAGTGTGGGCCTCTTGGAGCGTCTTGGGGGGCTCTTAGCGGTCCCGGACGCCTCTTAGAGCGTATTGGGTGCCTCGGAGAGCTTCTTGGGGCCTCTTGGGGGTCTCTTGGGGGCTTTTTGGAGGCCTCTGGGGCGCCTGTTGGGGCCTCCTGGGCGCCTCTTGGGGCCCTCTTGAAGCGCTCTTGGGAGCGCTCTTGGAGCCCTCTTGGGCAATCTTGGAGTCACCGTGAAGCCTCGGATGGCCATCGGAAGCGAAAAGGCGAGAAAGCCCAAAACATTGATTTCCCTTAGGTTTGGGAAGGATTTGGGCCTCTTCGGGGCCTCCTGGGGGAGCTCTTTGGCCATTTGGAGCCGTCTTGAAGCGGTCTTGGGGCCTCTTGGAGCATCGTGGGAGCCATCTTGAGGCATCTTGGGATATCTTGAGCCATCTTGGAGGTCATCTTGGGCTCTCCCAGTCGCTCTTGGAGTCATCTGAAGCAGTGCCCCCTCCCCCAGGAGGCCCAACCGTGGCCAAAACCTTAGTCAAGTCAATGTTTTTGGCAATCTGGCCGAGGCCTCTTGGAGCGTCTTGGGTGCCTCTGGGGGGCCTCTTGGGGCCTCTTGGGGCCTCTTGGGGGTCTCTTGGGGGCATCTTGGGGGCATCCTGGGGGCCTCTTGGGGGCTTCTTGGGGGCTTTTTGGGGCCACATGGGGCCATCTTGGGGCCATCTCGGGGCCTCTCGGGGCCTCCTGGGCGCCCTGCGACGAGGCGGCCCTGCGACGAGGCGGCTTCGGAGTGTACGCGGCGGACCAGACGTCGGCGAGCACGCGACGATCCTGCCCCCTCCGCCCCTCCGCCCCCCGTTGGATCCCTGGTTGGTGGTGGTCTTGGTGGTCCGTGTGGTCGCACCTGCACCGATCTCGCCGGCGTGGAGAGCCCCCGCGTCCCCGCCAGAATTCGCTGACCGGCGGCCTCCTGGGTCGCACACTGTTTTTCTTTCGCTGGCGCCGCCGCTCTAGGCGGCGGCGCGCCTGACTTGTTTATCATTTTCCAAGCAGCCAGGAGTGTGGCATCCTGCTGCTTTTCAAGTATTTGGGCCTCCTGGGCGCCTCTTGGGGCCATCTTGGAGGAGATCGATCACATGAGGGGGGGGACTCAAGTAGCCCCCCCCCTTCAGGAGGCCAAAATGGGGTCAAAACCGTAGCCGTTTTGGACGCTCTAACGCGTCGGGGAACCCCCCGTCGAGGTCCAGGGGAGGGCCGGGGGTAGGGGGAGGGGTAAACCCCTCCACGACGGGGAAAAAGGAGGGGTAAAAGAGGAAACGCTCTAGAGCCTAGAGTCTAGAGGCTAGACCACCTACGCCCAAAAGGGCTGGTGGGAGTCGACTTCACTCCACTCCGCTCCACTCCAGCTCCACCTCCAGCGTCGCGCCACATTCAACTCCACTTCGCTGCACCCCACTCCGCTCCACTCCATTTCAATCCAGTCCAGTCCAGTCTACTCCATCTCACTCCGCTCCACTATTCTTCAGCTCCACTCCAGCTGCACTCCATACCATCCCATTCCACTCCACTCCAGTGCAATCCGCTCCACTCCACTAGCTCCACTCCACCTTCACTCCACTGCACTCCGCTCCACTCTGCTCCACCCCAGCTAAACTCCAGTCCAGCTCCACTTCCTTCCACTCCACTTCGCTTCAGTACGCTCCACTCCAGATCCACCCCAGCTCCTCTCCACCCAGTTCCACTCCACTCCAGCCCCACTCCGCTCCACTCCGCTCCAGCCCCACTCCAGCTCCACTCCACCCCCACGTAGCTCGAGCGCGCCGGTCATCGCCCTGAGGCGTCCGGCTGCCGCGGAGCCCCCCCCGGGCGCGCGGAGTCGCGCCGCCCCAGGGCGAAAAGCCCTGGCCGCGCCCCCCCGCACCGCGGCGGCCGAGCGCCTGGGCTCCGCCAGGGGCCGAGATGGGCACAAAAGGTGCCATCCGCTCGGCGGCTGCAATGGGGACGGGCAGTCCAGTGGGGGGGGGCCGTAACAAGAAGTGAAACGCCCCAGGGGTCCGTTCCCGTTCCCGTTCCCGTTCTCTCTTTCTCTCTCTCTCTTGTTCTTTCTCTCTCTCTCTCTCTCTCTCTATCTATCTATCTCTATCTCTTTCTCTCTCTCTCTCGCCCTCTCTCTCTCTCTCTTGTTCTCTCTCTCTCTCTCTCCCCCTCCCGCTCTTTCTCTCTCTCTCTCTTTTTCTCTCTCTCTCTCTTTCTCTCTTTCTCTCGCGTCCAGGGGGTCCCTGGGACCGAGATCGAAGAACCGCATATCCTCAAATCTTGCAAAAGCCATAAGAACATCAATCATTGCAGGTCCCTTCCACCCTGAAAGGGGAATCAAGAGGGGGGCCCCAGAAAGGCCGCGGACGCTTGGAGGCTTGTTGGGTTCTCCTGGGAGGCCTCGTGGGGGCCTCTTCGAAACATGTTTCAGGTTTCTTGGGGCCCGTCGGGGGCTTCTTGGGTGCGTCAGGGGGGATGTCTTGGGGGTCTCCTGGGAATTCGCTGGCGGTCTCGGAAGGTATCTGTCAGACGCCTACGGCGAATCATCGCCGCGGGCGAAGGGGACAGGGAGGGGGAGGGGATTGGAAGGGGGAAGGGGATTGGGAAGGGGAGAGGGGGGGGGGGAGGGGATGGGGAGAGAGAGAGGGAAAGAAGGGTGAGGTGGGCTGAGAGGGGAAGGGAAGGAGGGGGCAAAGGGGGAGGATGACGACGTTGACGATGCTGACGTTGTTGACGATGACGATGGCGATGGCGATGACGATGATGATGAGGAGGAGGAGGAGGATCATGAGGACGATGATGATGATGATGATGATCATGCTGCTGATGATGATGATGATGATGATGATGATGATGATGCTGATGGCGATGATGACGTGGATGATGATGATGGCGATGATGACGATGATGATGGTGATGCTGATGATGCTGATGATGATGACTGATGATGTTGATTATGAAGATGATGATGATTTTGATGAACGTGCTGATTATGATGATAATGATGATGATATTGATGATAATTGTGCTGATGACGATGATGATGGCGGTGATGGTGATGGTGATCGTGATAGTGATAGTGGTGGTGGTGATGATGATGATGACTGGTGATGAAGACGATTGTTGATGATGATGATGATTACGATCTTGGTGGTTGTTGTAGTGATCATGATCATGATGGTGGTGATGATGGTGCTAATGATGATGATGATGATGATGGTGATGATGATGATGATGATGATGATGCTGATGATGATGGTGATGATGATGATGATGCTGGTGATGCTGCTGATGATGATGATGATGGCGATGCTGATGTGGATCTTGATGGCGATGATGACGATGATGATGGTGATGCTGATGATGCTGATGATGATGACGGATGATGTTGTTTCTGAAGATGATGATGATTAGGATGAACGTGCTGAATATGAAGATAATGCTAATGTATTTGAGGATGATGGTGCTGATGACGATGATGATGGTGGTGGTTGTGATGGTGATCGTGATAGTGCTAGTGGTTGTGATGATGATGACTGGTGATGAAGACGATGCTTGATGATGATTACGACCTTGGTAATTGTTGCAGTGATCATGGTCATGATGGTGGTGATGATGATGCTAATGATGATGATGATGATGGTGATGATGATGGTGATGATGATGATGATAATGCTGGTGATGATGGTGATGATGATGATGATGATGGCGATGATGATGCTGATGATGATGGTGATGATGATGATGATGATGATGATGATGATGATGATGATGATTTTGCTGCTGCTGCTGGTGATCATGATGACCTTCTCCCTCCTCCTCACTCCTCCCTCCTTCTCCCTCCTCCTCACTCCTCCCTCCTTCTCCCTCCTCCTCACTCCTCCCCCCTCCCTCCTTCTCTCTCCTCCCTCCCTCCTTCTCTCTCCTCCTCCCTCCTCCCTCCTCCCTCCCTCTGTCCCTCCCTCCCTCCTCCTCCCTCCTCCCTTCTCCCTCCCTCTCTCCTCCTCCTCTATCCTCTGGAGGTGGCACGGGCGGCGGGAACGGGAACGGGAACGGGAACGGGAACGGGAACGGGAACGGACCCCTGGGGCGTTCGCGCGCCTTTACGGGGGGGGGGGGCCGTTGCTCGGCGACGGAGGCCCCCAGACGGAGTTGTGACCGCACCGCGCGGTGAGTCAGCGGGGATTCGGGGTCCCCGCCCGGCTTTTTGGGACCCGGGTCGTTGATCCGAGGACGTCTCGGGCGACCAGGGCCTCCGAGGTCCCAAGACCGTGCGGTGACGGACCGCGCTGGGAGGCCTCTCGGAACTTCGACGTCGCCACGCGGTCGGCCACCTCACGGTTTTGGGGGCCCCCGAGTTGCAGGTGGGCGCTGGCCGGCGCCATGCAGGTGGAGTTGCTGCGGTCGGCGCCAGGCCTCCTCCTCCTTCCCCTCCTCCTCCTCCTCCTCCTCCTCCTCCTCCTCCTCCTCCTCCTCCTCCTCCTCCTCCTCCCCCTCCTCCTCCTCCTCCTCCTCCTCCTCCTCCTGCTCCTCCTGCTCCTCCTCCTCCTCCTCCTGCTCCTCCTCCTCCTTCTTCTCCTCCTCCTCCGCCGACGCCGACAAATGTACAGTCGAGACGCTCAGGTAAGTACGGACCGCTCGGGGCTCAGGAGGGGCTCTGCTTTTTGGGCGGCTCCTCGGATTTAGGTCGGGCATGTCCTCCCAGAGGCGGACGTTTGACGAGAAATAGGAAAGAGTCAAAACATGCCTCCAGATAGTCAAAAATAGTACGACAATCGTCCCCCGACTGTTGCTTGCCTGTTTTTGAGTATCCCTCCAGCAGAGGCACACGCCCGACGGAACCTCAGAGTCTCTGTCGTGGAGCCTGCTCGTGGGCCCGCCGTGGCCGGCAAGGCCCCTTCGCTCCCTTCGGGTATGGCCAGGACCCCAGGTAAGGGGACCCGGTTAGTGGTAGGGCCCAGGAGTCTTGGAATTGGCCAGAATCACTAAGCCAGGTTTGTCATAGCTGGTGTTTTTGTCGGGTGACGGCAGTTCCGGTTAGTGGAAATGGGACGGGGGGGCGCCCCGGTAATGGAGGATGACGGTTAACAAATGACCGGGGGTCGTGTTCACGCGGCGGCGCCCGGGCTGACGATTAGAAAAATCCGGCCGCGTTTTTTTATATTATTATTATTGTTTTTAATATTACTATTATTATTATTATCATTATTATCATTATTATTTAAGATATATGTATATATATAAACGTTCTCCTCTAGTCAGAAACTCAAGCAGACATAACAGAAAACTATGTTTGTAATATTTATCTCCCATTTTTTATTAATCGTCATCCCGCATTACAGACCTTTAAACCAGGTTCCACTAAACCCAGTTCTGCCGACGCCCGATCCTTCCCGTGCGCCCCTGGCACCAGCTCCATGGCCGTCTCAGCTGCTCTTATGCGCACATGGAAAATCCGTAGGACGTGCCGTGGCCAAAACGTCCGTGTTCAAAACGTACGTGCTCAGTCTACGCGTTGAGCTCCGTATCAACACGCTGCGTGTTGCGTGTTGCGTATCGGGGCAGCTAAGATTAAGCCGGGCCTGTCCCTCTACAGGAGGAGTATTCAAAAATAGTCAAACAATAGTTTGGGGAATATGTTTTAACAAGTATTTGTTTGATCATCTTGGAGTATTTTTTGAGTATCTTGTTTTCTCCGTTGAACATCCCCTTGTAGGGGGCACGCCCGACTTAAAGCTGAGATGGCCGCATGTCCGCGCGCACGTGTCCGCCGAAGGGCTCCCGCCGCCTCCGGCCTGCCGCGGGGCGGCCCGCCCCCCTTGGGCTGCCCGCCTCTCTGCCGCCGCCGATCCGTGGCCGCTTTTTTTGTTGTTGTTGCTGTTGTTGTTGTTCAGCCACGCGCAGAGGGGGGTGGGGGGAGGGGGGTGGGCTTCTTAGAAGCACCCCTGCTTCTTAGAAGGCGCGGGCCTTATCTGCAGATGTAAGGCTGGCGCCTTCTAAGAAGCAGCCTCCTTCTAATGGGGGATGACGATTAATAAACGACCGGGGGTCGTGTTCACGCGGCGGCGCCCGGGATGACGATTAGAAAAAAACTGGCGCGGGCCGGAAAACTATGTTTGTAATCGTTTTCCTCCAGTCAGAAACTTGTACAGAAATAGCAAGAAGCTTTTTTTTTAATCGTTCCCCCCATTTTGTTTATTAATCGTCATCCTGCATTAAGAAGCCTTCCCCCCTCCCCCTGCCCTTCTGTGCGCGCCGCCAAGTTGTCGTTCTCCAGCCGCCCGCGGTGGCTGGCGCCGCGCCCTCCCCCGCGGGCGGCCGGCGCCACCCGTGCCCGCGGCGCGCGGCGGGGTGCCGCCCGCGAGAGGCTGGGCGCCGCCGGGCGCTCGCGCAGCGGGGTCCGCGCGGCGGCGCCCGGCCGCCTCGGCGGGCGGGGCGGGGAGGGGCGGGGGAGGGGGAGGAGGCGGAGGAGGAGGAGGAGGAGGAGGAGGAGGCGGAGGCGGAGGAGGAGGAGGAGGAGGAGGAGGACCTTCCTGGAGCCCACCTAACGGATCTGTTCGACACCAGTTCGACTCAAATTCGACTCAAGTTTGACTCAGGTTCGACTCAGGTTCGACTCAGGGTCGACCCAAATCGACTGACGTTCGACGCAGCTTCGACGCACGAGTGGAGCGAGTGGCTCCAGGAAGGTCCCCAGAACGAGCATCCAAGGGGATGGGGAGGGGTGGAGATGGAGTCTCAAGCAGTGGCGGAGCGGCCTGGCTCGCCTATAGGCCCAGCAGCGAGTGTTCTGAGGAGCTCTTGCGGTCTGCACGAAACACGTTCTCAGAACTTTCCTGGTTGAGTCTGTCCTCTCTTGACGCATCGGTTCTATGTTCTAAGTACATTGCTTTCGTTCTTAGAACAGTTCTGCGTTCTGAGAACATGTCGTGGAAGGCCTATAGAAAT